GTTCAGACCTAGCCATTGTCTGTACTACGGTACGTGCATATGGTAAAAGGTACGGAAAGACAACATCATCATCATCATTCCAAACATCTGTTGCAGTGTTGCAAACCGTCACCATGCTGTCTACTTTCGCTTCAGTAAAACGAGCAACCGTTTCGGTGACAAGAAGACCAGCCTTCTTATCAGCCGCAGAGAGGTATTTTAGTGATGAAGGACCCAAAAAGGCCGTGCGCAAAGTGAAGAAGAAGCCAAAGAAATCCACACAGGAGACTGGTGGACGTCCAAAAGACTTGGAGATTATTCTGGCAGCCTTGGACGCTCCCTTTACAAAAGCACCACCCGCGGATAAAGAAGAAATGGCAAGGAGAGAACAAATATTAAAGAACTATACAGTAGGGAAGTTCAAGCAACATAACCAAGAGAACCATGATTTGGCATGCAAATTGACAATGAAGAAACACGCCATTAAGATGCTGCCGAAAGGCTCGGAACTGAAGAGAAAGGCATTGGAAGTTGACAATGAAGGGCCACCAAGATGGAGAAACATTCCTTTGTGGACGCCACCCATCCCAAATTTCAATTACAAAGACTACACTACCCTTGATGAATAAGTAAAATCACGGAGCTACGATACTCTGGGGGAATTGCCCATTATTCGTTGCATTTGATAGTTAGACCTCAACATTCTCCAATATTATGGCTCATTGATTTCTTTTGGGATCAATTTACAGTAGAAACGTTGATCCATTGATTTGATAAAGCGCTGCTATCTTTACATCCTTCAGAGTACTGTACTTATTTCTTTGTTCTTGTGATTATGATAATAAAAAAATCAACACTGATTGTTTTCAAATGATGTAAATGTTGCCATCACTCTTCATGACCTTTCCTTGTTCCGACAGCTTGTCAATGAATGTATTTATCTCGTTCTTGTCATACGCTCGAATGGCCTCGGCATTAACCTGTTTCAAAAAGTCCTCCTCCTCTATGGTACCATCATCCATTCGAAGTCGGATGCGATTGAAAATGGTCATGAATTGGACAAATCGACTGCAAATGAGCAAAGCAAGAGAAGAAAGAAAAAGAACAGATGAGTGACAAAGAATGAATGAATCGCCATCAATCCAAAAAAGGACGGCAACCGCACAACAGTACTTACGAAGGTGACGATGGTTGTCGTTGAGAATCATCCTTATCCTCCTCCAGGTCTTCTTCCTCTTCTCGAGGTTTTATGAGATCATCAATGAATTGTCGGGCCTTTTGCATTTCATTTTCAAAGACTCGTTTGAGGGGAACCGACTTGCCCGGTTTGACTGCATGTTTGGGCGGAGGCCGAGGCATTTGCAATTTGGGAGTGTACGATGCTGGTGGTTTAGCAGCCATGTGATGCAAGGGCTGATGACGAGAGACGGAAGGATTTTGCTGCTGAGTGGGCGTATCATTGACGGCGGCCTCAGTGGTTTGACGCGATTGCTGTTTCCCCATTGTAGATTGTGGCATTTGCTTGTTGTACTGCTGCTTCTTCTTTTGCTTTTTACTCGAGCCAGTAGCCGTGCTTGTTGCACTAGTAGCGGCAACCACCTTGTTGGCTTTTGGTGCCACTGCAAAAGCCGCTGCCTGCACTGCTGCGGCAATCTCGCCCTGATCCGTCGGACTATCTTGTTTGCGGCTCTCAAACAAACCTCGTCTCACTTCCGGAGGAGACTTCTTCTGCTTACGAGCAAGAATTCGGTCCAGTGGAGACACTTCAATGCATTGGTCAGTGAAGACCACTTCCATGGGTTTGACGGCGTCTTTGGTGTTGTTACTGGCAACAGCTACCACAATCTTTTTCTTGGCGGGAACGAGCGTCTTGGCAACTTTGCGACGGCTTTTGGGCTGTGGAGGAGATGAGCTAACTGCGGATGGCGAGGAGGGTTCTGATGGCGACAAAGTAGCCGATTGAGGATCCTCGTTCTCCGTCCTCCCCCCTTTTTTGATGGGCAGTGGCAACCTTCGTTTGGTGGACTTCTTGGCTTCATCCTTTTGTTTGGCACTCTTCCCCTTGACTTTCTTTTCCGGTTGTTTCTGTTTCGACTTGCAAACTTTGCTGCGTATATCGTCGACTCGTTCCATGAGAAACTCTCGTCCCCTTCGTTTGCGTCCTCCCCGTTGGAGAGTTTCGAGATGGAAGACCAAATTTGGATCTAGGTTCTTTTCGAAGCCTCCACCAACGACGTACTTGACATCGAGGCCCTGAATATTCTTGCTGCTATTGTTCTGGTTTCCATCATCGTCAGTAGAAGTGTCAAAGTAGTGAACCTTGGTGATCCGCGCACATCCTCCAGGTTTGTTGATACTACCAGAATGATTATTTATTAATTATTTGGGACGGACGAAACAAAAAGTGCAACAAAGAGGAGTGCGTGAGAACGGAGAGCAGAAGCAAAAACGAATATAGAGTTTTAAAAGAAGGAATCCTTACCCAGCCCATGTACGGCTTTGCACTTGCACCGATTGACCAACTTTCCACTCCATCTTGATGCTTTTTCGATGATTTCTGGATTTCCAAAATTTGTATTTTGTCTTTCGTTCTGTAGCTAGCGAGCAATATCTCTCGTTGGCTATACCAGGATAGGCTATTACGAGTTGAGATAACCAATGCAATTACAAAATTGTCGTGGTATTGCACCTCTCGGATCAAAAGGAACACCGAGACTTGCGACTTGCTTTCATTCAATTCCACAACGACGACTCGATTGCTTTGGACCAAAGCTTGGAGGCGTCGAGATGGTACTTTTACCACGTAGGATCACACGTAGACTTGTCTCGCATTTCTTTTTTGTGGCGCGGTTCGTGGTACCTTACTAGTCTCTTTTCGGAATCGGAACATGTGTGGGGTTTGTAGAAACGTCGTCAACTGCTGGCGTTGAAGCCAACACAGAACTTCGTACTACAGTATTGTATTCTTGAAAATGACACTATATTTCTCATTCTATGTTTATTCTTTCGTTTGCTATTTTCAATTTTATAAGTGCAAACTATCTTATAAGCCAATGCCATAGCGCCAGTGTTCGATCTGAATGAATGAAAAAATCATCATTTTGGTATTCATGAGACCCAGTAAATATAATAACTTTCTCAAGTGTTGGTGGTTGCTTCCCATGTTTGATACAACAATTTAATTTTGTTTGCAGCTGACAATGGTTTCCCGAGTAATATCCACTGCACCCGAAATACAAGAGGTTCCATCCGAAAGTAGCATACTGGCCATAACTCCCAAATCTTCGGCAACGCTCTCAAATACGCCCCCTCGTGCTCTTCGTCGGCTCAATGATTTCGATCGACGTCCCCCTCGATTATCTTTTGTAGATCTTCCAGTATATCCCGTCCATTGCGAAGAACCCAAACTGCCCTCCGTATACGAATCGTAATCGGACTCGTCATATGTCAAGTACGAACTAAAAGCGGTCGACTCTTCCCCAAAGGCCGATGCAGAAACCAAGTCACTATCATCCTTCCAGCTGCGCTCCATGCCTCGTTTCCATCGAGTTTTCCGGGCCTTGTTCTTCTGTAGCTCCTCCATGTCTTCCATTTCCCTACTGGCCATATGTTGGTGTGGACTTTTGGGGACGAGACGGTTGCGATTGGCATTTTCTCCTTCAAATGATGCATCACTTCCCTGTAAGCGTCGTGGCGTCATGACACATGCTTTGGGCTTGCGTTCCTCCTTTTCAGGAGTCACATTGCGAGGAGGACGATTCATTGGATCTTCCGTGGTTCCGCCGGGTCCCACCAAAAAGGTGCTCTTGAATTCTAATTTTTGCTGCGGTTGGTTGAAAGTGTGCTCTTGTTCACCCAAATCACCATCATTAACAGTAATGAGGACTGGGCGGACTGCAGCGGATGTGTCTTTGCGATTCTTGTTGATCTTTCGAAGCGCCGATTGTTGTGTGTGTTCCTTGCGATGGGAGGATGATTCTTGGACGACGGGAGGCGTGACATACGTGGGTCTATAGGTATGCTGAGGATTGAATCCTGGATAGTGATTGTCCTCATACCGGTCTTTGTTCATGGCAGCTCCACAATTCAGTTTCTTTAGTACGTGTAGTCCTTTCTTGGAGGGAGAACCTTCATCATTCTGATGATCCCACCCTACGGGACTGGGTACAACACGGGCACGCTCCGTATTGATGCTATCACTACCTCCTAAGTAGATATCATCGGAAATTAATGGTTGTTGCTTTTTAAATCGATTGCCAAACTTCATTCTGAAAACAAATTATGACTTGCTTTCTGATGAATTTGTTATGGTAGACGAAATGGCTGAGTTGTGGATTTGTTTTGTTTCCCGTTCAGAATATGATGATTGCGGATGTAACCCCTTTTCAGAATCGTTTGCTTTCCCTGGATATATGTGTATGATTTTCCGACTCAAGTGCTACAAAGGTAAAGAGAGAGAGCACTTGCAAAACCGATTTCGGTTTTTCCGAAGTTGGCTGTGACCAAGAATAGCTGTGACAGTGAAACCAGAGGCCTGACATTGGCACGTGTAGCAGGGACGGCTCGGCCCGTCACGCTGCACACAGCTATGTATGTTTGTCCGCCGCAAGCTGTTATTCCAAGAATAGATAGGGTCGAGCCGGCCGTCAAGACCGCGAAGAAATTTCCCAAGCCTAGGACGGAGGGCAACTCCACTCTTCTCGATTAAAATTTGGTTTGGAAGAGAATATTGGAAGAGAGACGGCACACATGATGTTCCAAGTCTTGCTGCAGCAACTATTAGACAACGAATCCCGGACGATTATAATCTACCTTCCACCCCTCTTAGATCAGAAGTGAATAGGGAATAAACATACATGATTAGTATCACAAGTTCAAAGTGGGTTCTAGGTAGACTAGTCGTCCTATCCTCTACTAGTAGCTAAAAAACGGCGAGTAGTAGGAACAAGAAGAACGACGATGATTGAATGAGCAGTCAAGCCAGGCGTCTACTTGGAATGTACCACCACGATTTGCTATAGTTGATTGGGATTAAGGTCGGCATATTGCATTCATGGCTATTGCAGAAGTAGGGGCGGGGAAGAAGCAATGATCTCAAGATCCTTTTGCAGCGATGACCATGTCAGGAACTCTTGAAGAAACTTCGATGCCAAAGTTTTTCTTTTCACACTCTAGTCAATCGAGACACACAAAATAAGTTCTTGCATGGCATATAGTTTGACAATGTTCGAGTTCTTTGCAAGTTCTTTGCAATTATTAGATAGATGCAGTACAGCATTCTAAACTTTACAGATTCGTACTAGCACACGTGTACCGTGTACCAGTACTGTACTCGTGATTGATTCATTCATGCGTCCATTGAATCGCAATCTCTTCTTCGACATGCATGTCGACAGATAAAGTACTACTATAGTGTTTTAAACCGTTTCAAATTCAAAAAACGGCGGCAAACCAAATTTGAAGTCAAAACTTGAGCGTATCGATCAGAATGAATCCAAATCTCTCATAGTTTGCAGACAATGTGCTTCTGAGCTCCGCATACTATAACTTGTCTCAAAGCACTTGGTGTACATCTACCAACTCATTCTTTACATAAGCCGATACGGTAGAACAAAAGAGAAGGATGAACTTCGGATACAAAGCACCGAAAAAGGACCTTGTGCGCCAAAGGCCACCTGAACTTGTTCTCATCGCTGAAGACGAGAACGGTCGTTCTCCAAACACTAGTCTATTGATAGAGAAGAAATTGCAAGACACACCTGACACTGCAAAGTTGGCAGACGATATGGTCGGGGGAGAAAATTGGGAGTTTCAAATGGATCCATTTGATACCTGGAGCCATGAGAAGGAAAACAATCTTCACGCACCTCGTCGGGTGGATGGTGAAATGCCCAAGCGATCCTTCATTCAAAAGGCATTATGTAGAAAGCCAAAAATGAATGCGCCCATTCCACCTAGTAATGGTCCCATCGGCGAGCGTCTTAGTTGCATAAAGCCCAAACAACCCAATCGATCAAGGAGTGTGCCACGATCCTCCCATCGATCAGCTCCTCCACCTTCTCGAAAAAGGCAAGAGAACCTTTTCCAAACACCTCAAAAATTGGCTCCTTCCCCAACGAACACTCCTTCGAAATATCAACAACAGCTTGATGAGTTTGTGGAAGTTTCTGCTACTCCCAAACAATTGAACCGAGTATCTGATTTGGATGAAATTGAACAGAGGGAGAAAGAGAGAAGGGAGGAAGAAAAGAACAAAACCGCACAACCAGCAGCAGCAATTACTACTACCAATGCTACCTATTCTCAACCCTTGGTCACACCTGCATTGGATGATGGAAACTCTGTTGTTTTGAACAGGAATGCATCTGTTCACAATGAAATTGTTAGTCTATCTGAGGAGTCCAGGAGCGTCGTTCAACAACAAAGTGACAGCATATTGTCTGCAATACGATGTGGTGGACCACTCTGTAACGCTGGAGAAATGCTGTTCATGGCGGTTGGTCCAGAAAGTCCTCCAGAGCTGACCAATGAAGAAAAGGCTTCTACTCCTCCACAGCAGAAAGCAAGAGGACCAGAATTCGAACACAGGCACCGCAGTTTGCCCGTTTCCACTTCCTCGTATTTGGACCAATCGCTCGCTAGCTCTTTCCAAGCAAGAAGCGATGTACCTGACATGAAGGAAAAACGAGTTCAGTCCTTCAGTCCCGGCAAAAATAATAACATCTACAGCAAAGAGGCTTTTGAAGAGGAGATCCGGCAATATCAGCAGAGTTTGAGAGAATCACGCAATCAAAATAAAATGGAAGATATTGAAGAACGCGATGAGTATGGCGAGTCTGCGTCTCCTGATGGCTACAAGAATCGACGAGCTATGCACCAGTCTACGAAACAGAGAGACTCCTATCCTCATCGGCGCTCGCGGTCGGTGGGGCGCTCAGTGGGGCGCTCAGAAACGTCTTCATCTTCATCCTCTTCTTCGCATGATCACAAATGGGGTAGCAGCGCCAGAAATGGCAGGAAAGGACGGTCAAAGTCTACCCATCGATCACCTCCACCAAAAAGAAATGAAAAGCCAAAGCATCGTTCAAAGGAACCAACAAATTCCGATCTTCCACGAAAACGAAGTGACTTTATGATAGCAGGAATGGAGATGGTGACTGGTGATATTGAACGACACCGTTCGCTACCAAAGAAAGAACAACATCAAACGCGTCAAAAGTCAGAACCCAGAAGGACCAGAATGAAACCAGAATGGATGGTTTCACCAAATCTCTTGAATGCTGAAGAGCCGCTCGGATCAAGCAATGTCTTTCACAGCGAAAGCGGACCTGTCCCCGTTGGTGACGTGATTTCAGTGCCATCGGTCTCAAACAAACTGCCCATCCGTACACTCGAGATTCCAGTGATGGTGGAGCCGCTAGATGATCTAAGAATACTCGAGGACGCCACAGAGTTAGGCTCTGCCGCGTTTGATGAATTTGACACAGAATCCATCTACGAGGATCTCAAAAAGTCAGAGAAACGAGGACGTCGAAATTCGAGGTCTGCAAAGAGCTATGGTGATGCATCAGAAAAATACTCACGTGCCTCGAGGAAATCTGCAACAACAAGACACACTGACTTCACCTATGGGTCTGCTTCAGTTGAATATGATGGTTGCTTCTAAATAGCTAAATATACCACTATACCATGCCAATATGAAATTAATATCTTAGAGAGAATGCTTACAGTAGGATAGGCTGTGGGTGTCTTTCTGCCCCAACCAAATCAATCCCAGATAGAGCTTACTCTGCGTGCAGGGCGACCGTGTGACCTATAAAGTACAAAGCTACTGTCGCAGCGATGGGATCATGAGTGGAACTGACCTGAACGCTGTTTCAAACACATGCGTTTCAAGTTTTAACAGGTACGGTACATTACTCTACTTTATTGTACCAAGAAGCATATATTCTACACCTTTTGTCTTTGTAATTGGAGTTGTGTCAAGTCGCCAAGAGTCAACTCCAGCTCCATTGAAGACCATGAATTTGTTCTTCTTCGATGCGAACAGTCCCTCATTGATCATCTCAAACCCCACAGGGATGGATTGCTCCCGCTTGAAATGGAACAGTGGCCGGTCCTTAGATCCAACTCGGTCTTGATGCGCTGTAATCGATATCCCAGCCTTCGCTGCTTTTTCTACAAAAGAAGATCCGGTTCTCGTCGTACTCAGTGGTTTGCTTTGTGTCTTGGTTGTCTTGTCGTCTTCGATTGTTTTCTTTCCCGTAATGTAGATGAGATCATTCATCGGTAGAGGGTGGTCGGAGGGAAACAGAGACGTGTACAACTGTAGCGAATTCTCTGTTGTGAGGTCACTACGCAAACAGGCAGCGCTGCAGTCAGAGAAAACCTCGGAGTAGTGCCTCTCCGCAGCCATATGGTCGTCCCAAGCAGACTTGATGGCTCCCTTCACTCCATCTGTATAGAAACCTCTCCTCTTGAGCTCTGAATCCATCAAAGGAATGCCTTCATTGAGTTCCCCTCGTCGACGCATATTGTCCAGGGCATTGAACTGTTCGTGAACAACTGTCGTTACTTCAATCGCAGAGGTACCATGATGAAAGTTTCTGTACGGACCAGAAGCAATATTCCTTCCGATGTGAGCTGACTCTGTAAGGTTCCGAATCCCATCCACATCGTCCACATTTAAGCTGTTTGGGTGGAGTGATTCCTTGAACTCCTCAACAGCTTCCGGTCGAAATGGTGTGGTGGAGAATTCATCTTGGGACGTTGCATACTTCGAGTACTCGTCGTAACGCCGGTCTCTTGCCGCATCAGAATCACCAATATACGAATGAGTAAAAAAGTGATCAATGTCATATACTGAATCTGGGATTTAGAAAGAAACAGAGATACATCAGTCGACCTTCACCTTTACAGAGGTCATCACGCGAAAACCTACCAGCAGTTTCAATCCCAAGAGAGTCGAAGTTTCTATTCGATTCCGACTGAAGTTCCACGAATGACTTGAGAGTAAGATCATTCGTTGGGGCAAATCCATAGTCATTGATCATCTTTTCAAGCGAGACTTCCATTTCTTTCTTTTCCTCCTCGTCTTTATCCTTTTTAGAAGATTCCTCTATTGGCCTACCAGAAACGTTCCGTCTGAACTCCGTGAAGTCGATTTCATCATCACCTCCGTCGCCATGTTGTGTGGCATGGATCCGCCGCACTGGAGTTGCCCATGAGCGAGCTATGCAAGTATCACGATGAGGTTTGCACATTATAGTCAGACGAAACGCATTGAATGAAGATCTTACCAAAAAAGCGATCAAATTGGGCAATCTTCGACGGTTGATATATACGCTCAAACCTAGATGGTAGCATTGGCGTCTCTACACTGTGGCCTAACTGCATCCACATTCTCTGTTGAACGTTCGCTTGGATTGCCACTTTCCACCAGGATGACAACGCTTGATTTTGGGAGTTACAGCGATTTCGTACAAGCTGGATCCTTTTCGATTGCGCAGCTGGTAGGGTGCCGTCATGAGCTTGATTGTTCGATGAAGGAGACCCCTCATCGGAGATTTTATCCCAATCGTGCACACCAAAAGCTCGTTGGTAGCCCTTCATCGATTGCACGGTACCGAGCTGACTGTGAAAGTTGTGCAAGTAATAATCTGTTTCCATTTCCCATAGTGGGACGGCATGTCGAAACGGCAGGTAGTATCCTAAAAATAAATTCATGGCATCCTGTTTCAAACGATCAGTAAATGCGTTACTGTAGTATCGTCGAATCGAAGTTAACAACTCCTTGTGCTTTCCAATCGGTCCAACGATCGATTCATTTCGCTCTGACGACACCTTCTTGTGTGCTAAACATTTCAAGAATCATGTTAGCCGATATAAATCAAGTTTTGCACAATCAGCCAACACATTGCAAGGTTTTCTTGATCGCAAACTCACCCTCTGAGCCACCGTACTGAAGAGCTACACTGTCTCCTACTTCAACATACATGTCAATCAGAACCCTCACGATATTTGACGAAGGGTCCAGTTTTGGAGTAGATCGGATTCCCATGACAACTAGCTGTTGTTCCATTGCCTGCACTCCGGCACTAAATTGTGCTACGTTTGTCCTGTCAAGGCAATCGATGCAATTCGTTCTTAGGATGCCTGTTTGTTCCATTGGAAAGACCGGTACTCCAAATTTATCAGGGAGCGTTGACTGTGCATTGATGTCTTCCTCACTGAATGGCTCGATGTCACCACCATCCATGATTTTCCATTTTGGTGAAGAGCAAAAGAAGCCAGTTTGATTCACAGCCCACGTCGAGACCTCATTGAGCGAAGTACTCACGTCCAAGTTTCTATGCTTGCTGATGTGTGAGTAATCCAGAGCACAATATCGTACCTTGTGTTCATCGTCAATGCTTGTGTTGATGTAATCTATTGCGTGCCGGTATTCGTTGCCCACTCGAACCTCTCTTTCTCGCTTCTCACTCTGTTTAACCAAGTCAAGTACCACAATGGGGCTGCCATACCTCTTGAGAAGGTCTTGGAAATGCATCTGAGTAGCAGTGTAGGTTGGGTCCACTCGGTTCAACTCGATGGGAGGTTTGGGAAGGGTCAAACTTGTTTCTTGTGTCCAAAACGTTGGGATCGAGCCACGCACTTGCAAGTAGGACGAAAATATGCCTTCTGACGCGGCTTTGGATTCATCATGCACAATTTGTTCGTGCTCAACGTCATTGGCAACCTTTCCTTGCTCACTAACTCCACGTTTCAGGTATCGCGTACCGGCAAAATGCCGAGATCTCCGTGCAAGCAGTGCGACATTCAATGACCGGCCGTAGTCATTTAGCTTTCGTTGAACAAACGCACCATGAATGATGGGCATGACCCAGTTGTAACGTGATGAACTGTCAGTGCAATGATGCAATTCTCTGGTCAAGAAAAAGTTCCACGCAAACATAATCTTGAAAGGTGGCGGCGGAAACGGTTGGGATGTGTTGGTGAGGAAATTTTCTTGAAGACTTCGAGTCAGATCGTAAGTGTATGAGAAAAAGAAATTCTTTGTTAAATCCACCACTTGGTACAACCCCTGATATCGGAGTTCTGCAATTTCACGATTTGTCAACCCAAGACCAACACTTCGTTTTCCACGATTCCACATGGACAACAGAACAGAAGAAGGGTCTGCGCCCATATCTGAAGCTGATAAGCCTTCGGCTGGCTTGATCGGGAAGGTCTCTGTGTTTTTGATAGTGTAGATACTATTGCCACCAATGCTACCAACCTTTGCACGTCGTGTAATCAAAGTCAGATAGTAGCAGTCCAAGAACCTCACAAAACCAACAATTCCATATGCCTTTGTGATTGGTTTCAGTCCACCACCGTTGAAACCTTTGTCACCAGGACGATCATCCCGTCGAAGTCGGTTACCATCATGAATCATATCAAGCATCTCTTTAATCTCAGGTTGGGAGTAAACATTCGGATCCTCTGTCAAGAACTCGCTCAATGGTTGTAGTGTTTGTTTTGCTGTGTGTGAAGCGTCTGTCATACCTGGATCATCAGAGGGATTATTGCCATTGGGGTTGGGTGGCCTTTCATGACGAGGCACATCGGGCTTGTTGGGGAGATTGTCTGGATGAATTTCAATGCGAGTCCTGTCCATCTTGAGGACTCGATAGGCTGTATTTTGTTTGTTGCATCCCACAAGGTAGTAGCTTTGATTTGTACAAAACAGTTCATATCGTTCAAGCTTTGCTACGTATGGATCTACAGAAGGATTCTTGAGGCTTCTTGATTCGTTTCGAATTATTGGTGGATTCTCGATCTTTGAAGATGGTGTTGGTAGAGGTTCTAGGACTGAGTCGGTGATGCTTGGGAACCGATCCTCTGCCTCCTCCTCCTCACCGATTTCGCTTTCTGCATCAGACATGGATGTCGCTTCGTCCTTTTGATGATCAGGCTTTATTATGACAAGCGGTTTGGTTTTTCGATCGCTTGTTTCGGTTTCGTTTTTCGATGTCATTGCACCACGGTTTTGGGGTACTTCACTAGTGCCTAAAATTTCAACGACAGTATCTTTGAAACCAAACGCAGTTCCTTTCTATTTCACACTCCTTGAACAATCAACTTTTTGATGCACACAATGTTCATTATATCTATATATAGATTTAGACAGTTTCCTTGGATATGGACAGAAACAACAAACTTGACAATTCATAAAACATCCAAGGCAAAACTTCAAATGGGTTGCAAAGATCGACGTAAAGGCGCCGTGACAAAGACACAAATATAAATCGCTCTATGAGCGACTAGGATTCAAAGGATCATGGTGCATCCACGTAGTGGTATGCTCAAATTTCAGGATACGTAAAATCAGAGAGGAGCTCCCCGTTAAAGAGATCAAAGTCAGTGTGACCAGAAGTAGAAGCATCGATGGGGAGTGGATCTGTATTCTCTGCGGAGTCCATATTCTCTGCGGAGTCCAGATCCACGGGTTCGTTAGATGGCACATATTGACTCCTCGCTGTTGTTTGAGGGGGTTGATGTTGAGACAAGGGTAAGGTGCGAATGGAAGTGCCACGATGCCCCGATTGGCCGGCGTAGTATGAAGAATATGCCGGCGGTCGATGGGCTTCGTTTCTAGGAGGTGGTGATAGCATGACTCCAAGCGGGTGCGAAGGAGTATTCAAGTAGTTGGGCGTATTGTGATAGGAAGGCAACGGTGACTCGTAGTATCTTGGTCGTTTTCGAGCCTCGGAGGATGCAGGAGTTACTGGTAGATGGTAGGGGACTGACTGTGGTGTAATATTCACATAAGGGTGACGAACATGGTAGTAATTCGGCGATCGGATCTCTCGAGGGCCCGAGGACATGACAGCTGCTGAATAGTCTCTCTCATCTTCTGCAGTAGCTTGGTGCCTTTGGAAACTCGTATCGTTTCTAGCTGCGAAGGCTGGATTGCTTTCAATATTTGGTCCATTTCCAGTAGAGGAAGAGGGATCTGAATGAAGAGCGACAGCATCTCGGAGAACTTGGCTCGTTTTTTCCCGCGCGATATCATTGCCAACATCTGCAAAGAAATGAAACTGTGAGTGAAACCTAATTCTCCTTCACTGGTTTACGTTCGTCCTAGCGTGCGTACCTTCCCATTTGTTGGTTTCGGTGTCCTTTCGCAAAAACCTGAATTAGATAAAATTGCAAGATACATTAGTTAGTAAATGGTGATCTTCGGAAACCCACAGTTACAACACTTGATACACGCACCTCCCAGGCGGTTTCATCTCCCGGACGATTCGAACTAGTTCTCTAGAAATCGAAGATTTCCCCTTCTTCGATGCATTTTGATAGTCCATGCTTCTTCCACGAGCCAAAGACCGAAGTTGCTCGTTGCCAACATGCTGGTTATTTTTACCCCCTCGGCCCATCAAGACGTCATTGTCATGAGGCTCAGGAATACCAGACAGTTTGATGTCGTCTACAGCGCGTTCCTTCAGGACAGAAGAAGACGAATCGTCAGAAAGAGTTTTGGGAATGGTGCAACGAGGCATTTTGAGAATCTTGGATTCGAAATCTTGGGTTGCTGTTGACAAGACAAGCAAATGGTGCGAGGACTGTGATATGTCATCACTGCACGCCACAAAGAATTTGAAAATGACAGATCACAAAAACCTAAAAATGGTGGGAAGCAGGAAGCACGTACCGTTGGAACCTTCATGGAATGTTCGATAAGCATGGCTTGTGTTCGTTTCCGATGCAACTGTTCCCTGGAAGATACACAATTTGATTGCAAGACAAAGGAACAGTTATCGTTAGCATCAAGTTTTGTTGTGACACGAGTGGGAACGATCCGGAATAACGTTTTTGCGAGGGTGCGCTTTGCGTAGAACTTTCCACGGAAAGATCACGTGCAAATTTGAAAGACTCGTTCCCGCGGCAACCAAAACACGCGATATTCGCACATTCATTCATTGGATTCTGGAATTATTTAGACACGCTAAACGAAAAATGAGTCACGAGTCATTCCGTGGAAGGGATAAAATGGCGGAAGTTTGCTCCCTGGAGTCTGGAATTGATTGAGGGGGAAATACTTCCAACGTTGTGAATTGAAATGAAGACCAACGACTGAGACAAAGACAGTATATTGCAGTTCTGGAAGATCGACAGGGTGTGGTTTTCTGTCCCGTCCTTGTTCGATAGGGTCTGCTCGAGTGCTATTACTCTGTTCTTGTTGATGAGCGACACTATCATTCCTGGCCCAATGCGTACACCTTGCTACCATGTTATTGCATTGCTCGTCCCAAACGGCCTCAGATTCATCACAACATGCCCGAGATAGCTGGAGAGAAGATTGATAGACTATCACAGGAATTCCAACAACGCATACAAATAAACATGGAACTCATCAAGATGACCCACTAAAGTCAAGACCACGCACCAACTTACCCCAAGTTGCACCCTTCCATAGGATGAATCCGGTGACAGAAGTGCCCAATGGTAAAGCAGCTATGTTGCAGCGTCGAAGGATGTTTCATCCCTCTGCTTTATGAACTCGAAAAGATCTATTGCCAGTGGATGCAGTTTATGTGATTTGTGATCCTGACGTTATTCCCGCGAGTTCTGTGAGATCTATGTATGGTCAAATGTGAGAAACTCTTGATTGAGAATGGGGACTGTCTCATTTGTGTCGATTGCAGCAAATCCATTATTTAACCGAAGTCGTTTGCCAGAAAGTTTTATGTGGAAGTATCTTGAGGGGCATAATAGTTGTCAAATCTAACGTCTTCAGACTTATCCAAAGGACGACTCGTCTATCCGAGTGAAATTGTTTGATCCTGATCCGTGGTGGCCTGCGTCCTCGAGCCAACCGACCCACACGTATTTAATCTCCCATTGAATTGGATGAACCAACACGTCTGATTCAATCCCATTCGCAACGGGTGCACACCAGCACACGAATGTTCTTCTTACTTGTTTTCAACCGTCAAGGAAAGGATAAAGACAATGCTATCCAGCTGGTGCAAAAAGTCCTGACATTGTTTGAAAGACAAGGAATCAAACTGAAAGTGCTAAAGCTTTTTATGGTGACTGTTGAGCTTGAGAACGAGGGGGACTCACGACGATGTCAGGCTGTTGAATTAGCGTAGTCAACGTAGTGATATTAATGCTCTGCTCGTCGCACTTCTTACTGAATTATGCTGAAGGGACATGTCTCGAGTTTATTTGTTGCGGTTCCATAGATAACAAGGTTTTTCACCATCCTGGCTGCAAGCTTCTGCAGGCCTAGATGGTGGGCTGGTAGCATGATTTGTTGGCAATTTCCAATGGACGGTACTCGACCTAGCAGCGTACCTTCGAGTTTGTGATTTGTCAATGAAAACACTACAGAAATGACCTACTGTAGCTATTGCTTCAGCTTCTTACAGACCCCACAGCAATATTCGTTTTCACATTCAGACCATATCTATAGTTTTTCAATCAAGAACTGTACACTCAATCATCCTTGTCATCACCACCTTTGAAACAGCAAAGCAATAATACAGTTTCACAGAAGCGCACTGCCCAGAAATCGTTATCTCTTGCGATGTACTGGTCGAAAACTTAGGTGCTCTTATTGTATTTGTTTGATACTATGCTTGCAACGTGACTTCAAAATGATTATCGTTTTGCCCGAGCCGTCGTTGCACAGGACACCTTCGTGATACGAAGCTCTAGCAGCCGATGGGAACGCTCGCAGTTTGAAGGATATTCATGGTTGTATTGATCTTCCTTCATCCGGAATTTTCTAGGAGAAGATCTTCTTGATGTTTGACAACAAAACATTTCAATAGCGAAGGGGCAAGAAGAAGGGGGGGATATATGAGAAAGATGCTCTCGAAAAGCGGACAATATAAGACCTATAATGATGAATGCTTTCTAGCGAATGCAGAACACTCGATGTGTACAATACTGTTTTGTAATCTGTCTTAGAGGCCCTTGTGCAAGGAAAAGCAAAACCTTGGATTCTTCTGCAGCAAGAAACGGTGCAAACCATACGCCAGCATTAAATTCAATTACTTGCAAAAAGGAGGGGTGCTGCAGCGATAAAGTAGACGCTACCGCTGGTAACAGTGACCAAGGCACAAAGGTCAAGCATCACCATCCCCGGGAAACGAAGCTTTTGCAGAATGTCTTGACCACCTGCTGCTGGAACAAAGAGCAAGACTGTCAATGCGACCATTGTCAATGCAGTCTTAATCTTTCCTTGTATTCCAACCTTGACAGCATCGCGCTGTCCTCGTTGTGCCATCCACTCTCGAAGCGCAGAGACAGCAATTTCTCGGGCAAGAATGATAGAAGTTGGAATCGAAACTGCCTTGCCATACCGTCCGGCAAGGAGAATCAAGGCAGTACTGACCATGAGTTTATCAGCCACTGGATCCAAAAAGGCACCAAAGGCACTAGTGATGTCCCAGCGTCTCGCCAAATAGCCGTCCAGGTAATCTGTGAAGGAAGCAAAAGCAAATAGGATACCAGTTTCAATGTGCAAACCAGGCATGAAAAAGATAACGACCAAGGCAGGAATGGCTAAACAGCGGGCATAAGTAAGATAATCTGGGAGTCTGTGCCAAGGGAAGGATGGAAGGGTCTTTCGCAAAAACCCTGGAGGAGCTGCGTTGGGTCCAAGGAGCGATGTTGCTGGTGTAGATGCCACGGCTACAGGAGCTGCTGGGGCAGCTTCTGGGGCTGAATAAACAGGAACCTCATCGACTGGAATCGACTCTACTGGAAGAGGAACTTCTTCGTCAGCTCCACCTTGCACTGCAAGTCCTGGCGTTCGGTAGAAAGCGTTGTGTCGTTGGGTGACTGACGATTGTCGAGGCACGAAGGATGATGCGGTGGCTGTCGAGGAAAGCAGAAGCAACAACGAGCTAACTCCAAGTGGGATAATCATGTTTTCGCTATCGGGTCTGACTTGTAGAGTATAGTAGGGCAGGTGATGTGCCACTAACAATGTCAACAAATGAGAGTGTCAGGTGTCATCACAGTCAGATACACATCAACATACTGTGAACTGAACACGCACGAAGGACAGAGCCGTCCGTCCAGCGTCACGCGAAATTGACGACCAATGGCCGATGCCTCATGCTACTGATCCATCTGCTCCACTTTGTTGCTACAACTGACGCTTCGGACCAACCTTTAACCATGCATCTAATGTACTACAACGACCCCAGCGGCAAGCGCGTGTACACACTGAAGGTAAGTTGGTCATTTGATGAACAGAAGGTCTGATGAATTGCACACTCACATCAAAGGAATTCTTTCACCTAATGCAGAAGGATACTCCAGATGGAAAGATTACCGAGAGTGCCCACCCCGCCCGCTTTTCTCCAGACGATAAGTTTAGCAGACAACGAGTAGCATGCAAGAAGCGGTTCAATATCTACCTACCGAACAGTCCACAAAAGCCACTTTAGGACTCCTCTTGTCGTATGTCGCCAATTGGCCGATCGACAATACCTAGGGAACTCATTTTGTACACTATTCTTTTACATGTTACGGATCGAAAGAGGATTTCATTTACTTTGGAAAGAAAGGATTCACCCATATACACTTATTGAGTGATGACTTATTCTGAGACCTGATGGTATTCATACTAGACGAGCGATTTAACTTATAATCTCATTCGAATGATCTTTTCTACACTGATAGTCTGACTGTAACTCGTCACTATTTTCATTAGTTTTGGATCATTGCTAAGTCCTAATCCCCACGTTTTCTTTTCGACCCTATGTTAAAGAACAAAGCCATGAGTTGCAAAGTTCGAACCGTGTCGTCATCTTCACATGCATACGTACCTTGCTGCCTTTCTTCCTGTTCTTGTTCCATTTTACGTTTCATCATTGTGACCTTTTGGAATACAGGAGCATTTTTCAACAGATCGGGAAGGGCGATGAAACGAATGCTGCTCCCTCTTAGGTATACACTGGGTAATTTGGAAATTTGTCCGTTTCGAGCCGTTCTCAGCACGTCCGACAATGATAAGTTCATAGTCTCTTCCGCACTAAGCAGCAGTCCTCTATATATTTCGCCATTTTTCATCTATTTTGGAAACGCGATAGTGTTAGCCTAGGTACATGAATGCTTGAATCCGTTGTGTACATTGAGACCCACCTCGGCTGTGACTTTCATCCCCTCGGCTTCGAAGAGAAGCTTTATCGGAACACCCACATTACCTGCAATTGAAACGACATATTATCAGTCTACTTCCAGGATCTCTAAACAGCATTTAGACAACAAAGCACTCACTCATTTTGGTCTGATGTTTTTATGTCGATGGTAAAATAGGTAGGCTGTCTTCTCTCGAGTCAAAGTTGCTCAAAATGTTCAGGTGTTCTTTTCCTTCGGCTCTTCCAGCGATCCTTGGGCTTTGAGAATACGTTTGAGGGATCTTGAATATGAAGACTAGGTGATTTGAGGCTTTTGGTGGCAACACAATAGACACTGCATTTGATGTGAAAACCTAATGAAAACTAACTTGCGGCGGACGGGCGACGCGACTCCTTCGAGTAGAACTGAACATCCAAACTTTGGATATTGAATATTGGAGTCCGCCCGAACACAAACCATACAGTAACACTGTTGTTTTCATCATGGCAAACGCAATTGAACTTCTACCTGCAAACCTTCAGAACACTCTAAACCAGATAGTGGATCGGGTGAATAAAGCAAATGGCGGCATCAATGTTATCCTACTGAGTACAGCAGAAGGCGTTCCACTAGGCCGTGTGTATGCCGATCGCAGTGCCCAGCTCAACGAAGAGGTCCTAGCTTCGATTGAAAGCACCTGGGCTCCTGCATCCAAACAATTCTCTCTACTAGATTTGGGAAAAGAAGCGAAGGTAGTCACAGCAATATACGATCATGGTAAGGACCGGTCTGTAACGCCATGCTGGCATGTCAACAAATCTCTATAATCGTTGCTTATTCCATTTTTTCCCCTTTCAGGCACGATACTTCATGTTTATGAGGCACCGGTGGTAAGTTTCAAAGCCACAATTTTGTGCGTGGAAGGCATGGAAGCTGCCTACAGAAGTTCTGACACTTTCCATTCGCAATCATCATAGGTTGTAACGATTTTGGTAGCTCAAAACGCAAACCTTGGAGCCGTTCGATCGACTGCCATCCCTCTGCTCAAAGAAGCTCTGCTACCCCTTTGCACAACTCTATTGAACAGCTTGGCTCCACAAGAGGCGGATCCGTCTTATCCTGCTCAAGCCTATTATCAATAAACTCAACAAAGCTGGATTTGCTCCTTTCACACATACTGTTGGGCTTTGCCAACACTAGATGATTCACTACCGCTTTTGCTTCAACTACAAGACAACGTTTACAAATGCATGTCTTGATGACCCTTGAAGCTACCAGCGAAAGCGAATAGAAAGGAGGTTTGAAATAGCGAGTGCAAATCTGAACATTCAATGATGAAGAGGAAGCCAACCCTCGGCCGTAACCCCAAACATATAAGTACAAACCATTTTATCATAACATCAGCCTATATCTATTGCAAAGTTGGAGAAAATGCTATCTTGTTTCAGCAGAAGAAATCAAAAGTATCAGTTGAGGAACATGGCATTGAATTTTGTACCGGTAGATCGGTGCTGGGCCTCCCCAATATAAAATTAAAGTATTTTATCATAGCAAAAAAAACGAAATTTCGTATTGGAGAACAGTGACGTATTCGCGAAGAAAGTGGCGTCATCTTTCCGCAGCTCAGGAGATTTTTATTCGTGGGATGTCCTGCACCCACACATGTCTCGGATGATACCGGCATTCCACAGCACAACAGAGTCAAAAGGGAGAGTACAGTATGCTCTAATAATTTTATCTTCCAATTCAGTCCTACAAAGCGTCGGAAGCTAATCTGTAGCGACATAGCTATTTGATAGAAGTCTATTACACCTTGGAATATATTTTGATTTCATCCCAGAAAACTTTACATGTTGCCACCAAATCCAGTGGATACGAAATCTAGTAGTACTTTCCGTTGGACTTTCCTTGGGCATCCAAGATTCCGGACCAGTAGTTGGCTTCGAAGTTGGCCTTGGCGTTGACATCGACTTGGACATCAATGGTTCCCTTACCCTTCTTGACGGGGTAGGTTGGGACACCGACGGGGGAGAAGGCTCCTCCAATAAGTTTTCCGATTCCGGATGGGCACCATGCTCCGACAACATCTCCAGTCTTCAAGGAGAACTTGGTTCCAAGAACTGGGTCTTGGATGGTGGAATCATCGTTGACCTTACCGAAGGAAAGGGGTTGGTTGATAGGAGGACACTTGTCTCCAAGAGCATAGACGGCTCCCTTTGGGTCGACGGCGATGCAGATGGCAAGTCCACCAGCAACACCAGAAGTGGCAGATCCTGGGGATGGAAGGTCCTCAGTGCTGATGCATGGAACATATTGCAATTTGGAAGGGAATTTGGCGTTCAATGCGGTGCTGGATCCCTGTGGAATAGAAAGTGAGAAAAGAAGGACACTGGACGAAGCAAATATTCACAGTGGAGACGTACAGCAGTCTTCTGTTGGGAAGTGAAGGCAGCGGCACTGGCGACAAGGGTAGCAAGGATGGAAAGCTTCATTTTGTATAAAAGTCTTGTGTATCTGCGAAGAAAGAGAAAACTCAAGTTAGAATGATCACGTGACAAAAAATACTTCGAATGCCAGCATCATTTCGAATCCAACTGATAAGCCATCATACAGAAGCCAACCATCACGACGTGATGGTGAAGATAGGTATCCAACGATGCTTGTTGCAAGACTTGCTGTCACAGAACACACCTTACTCGAATGTGACGACAAGGTGGGGGACGAACGGCAAGCCGTTGTTGCAGGAGGAAAAGATCGATGCTTCGACGTCAGTAGAGTCAAAAATCGGATGGGTATGTAGACAAAGTACTGAGACCCTACGACCCCATGCGCATCAGATCGCGCTGAAAGCGCATATCCTCGAAATTCAACTTTGGGTTGCAGTACTTCTTTCTACATACGACAGAAAACTATTTGAAGTGCGTCTGTCTCCCCCTCTTTTATCCCGGTTTTGTCTCCCCTCTTTCATCCCTTGGTTTTTTGAAGAATGATGACGAAGCATGGACGTGTTCCACCGTGGAACTCAAATCTACATCCATCCAATGCCTTCTCGTACACGACGACATTGTTAGATCTTTTATTAATCTCAGATCAAGATGACCATCTTTCGCTTTGCAACCACGCTGTTCTTGGCGTTGAATTTGCTTGATAGCCATGCTTTCCAAGTACAACCTAGACTGTCACAGCAACAATGCCTGAGGCAAAATACGGATTTGGCCATGGGCTTGGATATGGTAACCTACATGAGAACGGAATGGATTTCTGCAGCATTGTGTACCAACCAGACTCCACGCGAAGCTGATATTTGTCTACAACTCGGTTGCGAAGATGGACGAGCTGTGACATTCGTTCCCCGAACCATTGACCAATTCATCACTTCTACCCTCGAGCCTGATGGTGTCTTGCCTGTGAGTGTGGAACGTCAACTTACACAACAGGAAAAAACGAGAAATGCTGCCATTGTAATGTTCAGAAATCAAAGAGCTGACGACCTGAAAGAGACTCCCGACGAATCTGTTGATGTTGTTGTTAGTCTGCAAGCAGCTGCACGAATGATAGAAACTGGCTTGGACTGGAAGAAGAGTGTTCACGAAGCCGCCAGGGTGTTGAAGCCAGGCGGTCGACTATTATTTGTGGAACAAACGACGCTGGATGGAGAATCATATCTTGACTACCTTGATAACCTTGGATTGGAAGTTGAGGGCAGTGAAGAGAGTGAAGAAGGGGAAGATGACGATGCCGCTGAGGAGAGATTTCCAATTTTCGAAGAAGTCGGATACGATGATGTCGACTTGGTGTTGGTGCCCCATGTAGCTGGAGTTGCCGTGAAGTCCATGGATGCTGGATTGACCGCTGCGGAACGCGATGCAAAGGAAGCCAAGATTGAAGAAGACCGACTAGCAGAGATTTCCCTCGCCGCTTACGAAAGAGGGATCAAGAAGCGAAAAAAGAAAAAGAAGGCCACTGCTGAAGAAGAAGCGTAGGTTTATTACTGTAGATACTATTTTAGAAGGGATCTTGAACCCGAATGGCATCCGTAGTTTTGGTTTGGGACCACATAATCGTGATGCATGAACTTATCTTGGGACGAGTATTCATC